GTTTCAAGTTAAGATGATGTGGACTCCTTATTTCAACTCTAAATAGGGAAGAACGGCGCAGTTCGGCGACGGGGGGGCATTTTGCATTTTTCACTGCTTCACTACTTCCGGTTTACAAGTCTCACTCTGGTGAAACTTGTGAACTCTTGTGAAGCTGGAGCAAGCTCGTCTAGCCACCATGGTAAAACGTGTCAACTCGAGAAAAGGCTATCTAGATGGGTCGACACATCTATGGAAGCAAAATGCCCCCCCCGTCGATAAACTGCGCCGAGGCTGTCTATATGGGTCGACACGTCGATGGGAAGTCGTTGATGTGCAAAATGCTCCCGTCGCCACAGCGCCGCACATGTGATACATACCATTTCTTAACCATTTCCTAGATTTTTTCCTAAATTCCTAACACTTACCGGATTTCTCGAAAATTTTCCTACATTTACCCAAAAATTTGCTGTAGAGCGGGGGCTGAGGTGGAAGGGCTATATAGTACACATGAAATGAAACAAAAAAAAACCACGAAACATCAGCAACCTCTCTCAGAAGGTGAAGAAGGGAATACAACTCCTTGCCCTTTACGACATCCCAGAAACAAGAAAAACTAACTATCAGAAAATTTTTTCTCTTAGACCAACGACCCTCCTGTTGGGGAATCCCCAACAACGATGTGCCCTGGAGATGAGCCACACCCAACTTCTACTCGTCAGCGCCCTCTCACGATAGCAGCTTCGAAAATGTTTGAGAGTGGTCACCGAAGAAATCACCTGTTTTTTTTGGGAATCGTACCGTCCTCAAGCAAACTTCCCTGAGATTTGGCGGCCATTGTTTGCTGGGCGCTATACAAGATAACGAGGACTACGTAGCGGTATGACGATGAACTCCGTCCCACCTCCCCCCCCCCCGGGCCTGTCTTATAGCAAGAAGGCCATAGACGAAAAGAATCTGCGCCCGGACTCGTCTCGAAGCGTAAAGAGCATATATACACTCCTTATCCCTGAGCCAGAGTAGGCGTGGCATTTGAACATGGCACGGAATTGGTTACTCGTGGAATATTCCAGTCTGGGACAACTGTCATCTTGTTCTGTTGGACAGAGACACGACAATAATTGTGTCAAGATGAAAATATCTCACCAGAAGCATAGACACCCTCAGGTTAAGTTGAAGCATGCAGCCACGCCTACTCAATCTCACAAATAGGAATTTCGAGTATACGGATACAATCGGAGCATGGCTCTCAAACCAATAGCGCCGAAAACAGCTGCGACCAAGCGCCGGGCCCCCCAACCAAAGATAAATAGCGTCAAAACAGACTACGATGTGGGTAAGGGGTGGGGGAGGAGCGGTCACGTGGTGGTGCAGGTCTTCTCCCTTGCCTTGTGCATCGCTGTGATTCCACTGTACCATCCTAAAATGAAGATTGGGTATGCATGCAACGCGTGCTGCGTGTGCCTCCCTCTTTTTCCTTTGTTTAGAGCTCACATTTACTGGGAATACAAGGAAGCCACTCAATCACTCAACATCGCAGATTAGCGACGAAAACGGGCGCCTGTGTTTGTGAACGCGGGAAACTCGTGACCTGGGAAATTTCGCGATTCTAGATTCGGAGGTACGATTAGATATTTAGGCTTAGATATTTTTCCCAGCCAGTAGTGTGGCACGAACTGGCCAGGCCACTAATTCACGTGAATCGCCTATTCTTCGAAGCGGTACGGGGACCCGCGATACAATCGTTGTCACTGAAGTAAGTCGGGGGGATGGGTTTTGGCGCAGCTCCAGCCTATTTTCCTAAGATCACTGTGGCTCGGGTGTCAAGTGAGTGGTCAGAAAAGGTCTAACGTCACACCAGAACTTACGCCCCAACTGACTCCAGCAATATGTCTTTTCTCTGGTTTTTTGTGGTTACGATCATAACCAATAACGATATGCTCGATTTCAGCCTCAATTTTACTTCACCCAATGTTCACCATGAGTCGAAAGTTATAGTATTAGTGTGTACACAGCCAAACGATATCAATATTCGCAACACAATTCGTCGGACATGGGCAAATCCGTTGTTTTCAGAGGCTGCCCAAGTAAGGGTTCCTTTGTCTTCTTCTCTTTCAACAACTTCCTGTGTGTATACGGTCTTGTTCGCTGCATAAGTACGGGCATATCAAGGGCTTGGTTTGGAGCAGAGCCAGCTGTTTTTTACCGATTGATGTCGTTTGCTCGCTTCAGCACTTGCTATAGAACGAGTTGGTCTTGCGTCAAGCTCAGTCCCTCTGAGTCGTCCCGACATCTGCAGCGAACAAGCCTAGCGATTCCTCCTCCATCATGCCAGAGACTACCCACCTTGTAATTACCAACGATGCGTGTTTTCGACGAACTAGGAATTTTCAGTGAATATTCGACTGTTCTTTTTTCAGAATAAATCCGTCTCCATTATATTCTTGATAGGCACCGGCTATATTTCTCCCGCGGTTAGGTACGAGATACAAAAATATAACGATATCCTCCAAGTCGACGTACCCGATTCATATGGCAACCTCGTCTATAAGGTACTTTCTTTCTTTACATCGCCGACTTTTCTTTATTCTTCCGTACTTTCATATTCCATTTTCTACCCTCACCTCATCGAATTCATAAAGTTCATGCACCCATTTTTCCTGACAGTTGTCGGCATGTAGTTGGCAATCCACTCGGCCCCGCCTTTGTGTCCCTTCGCCTAACCAAGACTTAGGCCAGAGTGCAGACGCTCAGAGACGCCTACGGATGGTTTCGCGAGTACGTAGTCTCTACTGAGCCTAGGGCTTAATTTTGAGTCAGCCTGAGACACAGGTTGCGACCGAGTGACTCATAGATCTCCAACGCAGTGGGTACGTCTCGGATGTAAGATAGTTGTTTAAGGGAGCAGTCTGCCGGGGATGAGCCGTTTGCGCCCCTTCGTAAGACAGTGTGGACTTTAAAGGCGCCCGATGAGGACACAGACGAGTGTGGAATGGTCGTGGCTGGCTCCCGTAACTGCTGGCCCTGCCCCTTTCCAAAAGTACTTTGGCGTCGCCTAGGATTTTAATTCGTAATTATTATGGAAATTAAAAGATTACCATGGAGTGTCACCAATTATAGAGCTTCATATAAGTTTTATCCGCGGACATTTAGATTCTCGTTGCATATCGATTGATCGCTGCCAAGTACCCGGACAAGCATGTGCTTAAAGTTGACTCTGACGTGGTGCTCCTTCTTGACAAGGTTCGTTTTTATGTATAAGCGAAAACAGTCACTTGATACCAGTGGCGCACATGGCCATATCACCGTGTTCGGAAATGCATGTCTGCGGACCCAGTAGTGGGCGTGGCTACGGTTGCAATATCTGTGGAATGTTGCCGGTTTAGGGGCAAGATGTTGGGCATAGAAAGCGTATGAGAGAGAGCACCTGTGCTGTACAACAACAGTGTTGACCACTGGATGAGAATGACAAGTGTCCTTGACCGTCAAGTTTCCGAAGGGACGTGTCCGCTGTCCACATTCAGGTATCATCCGGAACGGTCGCGACGTCACATGCAAAACAATGAAAATATCTCTATTTCGCCTTGTTCTCAATGCAGTTAACGAGTGCTTTCTAGCCTGCAAGCAAGTAACGTTGTAAACTGATAACAATAAGATGATTTAAAGACACATGATACGAAGTTCATACATAGTGTTGTGTGTGTGTGTGTGTGTGTGTGTGTGTGTGTGTGTGTGTGTGTGTGTGTGTGTGTGTGTGTGTGTGTGTGTGTGTGTGTGTGTGTGTGTGTGTGTGTGTGTGTGTGTGTGTGTGTGTGTGTGTGTGTGTGTGTGTGTGTGTGTGACTATCAGCCGCCCCCCCCAGCTGTCGAAGCGTAGCGGTTTCCCCGTCCTAACATGCGCAGGAATGGAGATACAGGGCCGTGAAACACGCTAATTCCTCCATGCTCCGTCCAATCCCCTTTGCGGCGCAGACTCGCCTTCATAGTAACATCCGTTGTAAGCACGCGTGTCGCGTGCGGCTCTCTTGGCACTTTGCCTAGTCCTGTAATTGCGCTTTGGAATACAAATAAAACGCAATTTCCTCATGCGAATAACATTTGAGGTGCTGCAGAATAAGAGCCGAATGATGACGAGGGCCAGAACCAAGGGCAACTGTGCTGCTTCTGCAACATCCCTCGGGGCCGCGCATTCCCACAAAACATGAAAAATGAAAATAAAAACGGCCCAAAGATCCCACTCGTTAGTTTAAAGTATTTTTTATGGCTTTGGGCTCCGCGGGATCGCAGAAAGTTACACGCGTTTAATTAATTTTGCGTTCGCTTAATTTTTTTCATTTTTGTTTTTACATCTACATTCGTTGTTCTTCATTTCTAGCCTTTGTCATCTTCATCACCTTCTATTCGGACTTTGCAGCATGAGCAACACCTCAAATGTTATTCGCATCAGGAAATTGCGTTTTGCTTGTATTAAACTAACGAGTGGGCCGTTTTTATTTTCATGTTTTGTGGGAATGCGCGGCCTCTGAGGGATGTTGCAGAAGCAGCACAATTGCTCTTGAGTTCTGGACCCTCGTCATCATTTTGTTTCTTCTTATTTTGGCAAGCACCTCAAATGTTATGCGCATAAGAAATGTGTTTTACTTATTCCAAAGCGTAAATTAGCAGGATTTGAAGTGCGGAGAGAGCCGCAACGCGATACGGACGCGACACGAACGATGTTGGCAATAACGAGTCCGCGCGGCTATTGGGCGGAGCAAGAGGAATTAGTTAATTAGTGTCCACGTTCATGGTATCTCATTCCTGCGCATCGTTAGGACGGGGAAACCGCTACGCTTCCACAGCGGGGGGGGGGCTGATAGCCACGCACACCCAAACTATGTGTGATTGTAAAATGTGCCTTTAAATGCCCCCTCTTAATTTTACCACCGTATTTTCCGCATTCCCCAACTGTGTAAGACAAATGAGTTTCACGTTTGTATCTCATAAATGCGCCCCTACAAAATACGAGAGATCGTTTCGAACAAATACTCTATGACCTGATGGTGTTCTCTTTGAGTTCGCTGACACGCCCTCTCCAGGCACCGTGATATGGACAGTACAGTATGTCAGTGAAAGTATGTCACTTATATCCTAAAGGTGTTTCTTCTAGATGACTGCTCATCTTGGTAAACCAGACGAGAGATCTATTAAGTGCTATGTGCATCGCTTCTCCATGCCGGTTCGTGAAGTTGGCAGCAAATGGTGGGAGTATCACTCCTTTTGTTCATTGAAAACGTTTTCTTTTTCTGGGCTAATGTCCATGTACGCTGACATAGGCTCTCCCTATCTCGTATAATATGTATTTTGCCGCAGGTTTCGAATAATTCCGTTACCTTCTGGAGACTCACTGTATGCTCTTTCCCAAGAATTTTAATATCTGCTATGAAGGAGGAGAACGGGTTGGCAGCTATTGAAGTGTGACACGGGACAATGCGCGGAAATGGGGCCGGATAGTGATAGCTGATGCCTTCACCCGTGAGCACTCCTCCGTTTGTGTTCGCGCCCGTAGGCAAAGCACGCAGTCGCGTAACATGCCGCACGGCCCGCAGACGCTCAACCATAGCCGAACGCGCTACTTGTCTGCGCTTCTTACGTGTGAGCGTTCTTTGCTTTGACTGCGTATTCCGCCCTGGGACCTTTTATAGGCACAAGTGCTGCATCTTTAGGATAGCGGGGTGCAAACGCACACGATATTGTGCTATCAGTAGTCTTCAGTCTCATTTCCACCCACTTTGGGGTGACCAAAACGGGATGATTCTGCAGCAGCCAACCCGATCTCCCAGCTTAGGACAAAGGTCGTTTCCGAACATGACTAATACAGTTTGTATTCAAGAGATAAAGTGCCATTGACGTCACATAACACAATAATGACGGAGAAACCTCCACTGTACCATTGTCAATCATTGTCAAGACACGTCACTAACGTGTTATGTGACGTCAGACACATCGCGTACCTTTCATTAGGTGAAATACTAGACTGTGTACCTATGCTTCATTAGAGCCTGTACTTTAAATAGTTCTATGTCCTTGTATATGCTCATGGCTCTTAGTATAGTCATCCCATTCAATCTTCTCTCCTAGCCATAACTCACAAGGGTCATTCAAAAGTGGAGACATATAGAGGAATGGCAGAAAAGCAAAGGGGATAGGCAGCGGGCTACTATACCATTTGGAAGCTAGTACCTTTAGCTGTGTATCTGTGAAATTTGGCGAACCTAGCCCAGAAGAAGTTCTCGAGAAATTGAAAAGAAGCCCGAGTGGTGAAAATCGGCGCCGGTTTTTCAAATCAGGCGTCATAAGAGGAAAGTGCGCTGCTCAAATTTGACCTGTGCCAGACCAGTGTCACCTGTGCTTCCGTTGATCATCGAGTTCCCCGAGTGGGCGCCAATAGCATCTCCATTCTTCCCTGCAATCGTGCAAGAGTCGCGATTCTATGCTTGTACCAGTAATGTTGTCCGCATAAGATGTCATTCACGACTGTGGAAACGCTTCCCGGCCCTGAATGAAATATGGGTGGTCTTCTCTCCTAGCCATAACTCACAAGGGTCATTTTTGTGTAAATGAGAAGCCGCCCGATTTCTGCCGTGAAGAGTTACGGGGCTCAAGTCGATGACCATCATAGCAAAGGATTTTTGCACTGTGGCTTTCAAGCGGCTCTACACAGAAAACAAAATCGTCTCTGTCAGTACATTGCCTGTTCCTCGGACAATCAGATCGACAAATGGATGGTACCACACAACTTCAGGCCACCGTTGCTCGTCATAGTGCCAGACCCCGAGTAACTGTATTGTAGGGCAGTGCTGGGACACAAACAATACTGAGACCTGGGTTCAATCGCCCATTCGCCCAACATAAAGCCGTGCGATTTCAATTGTTCAACAGTCGAAGGTACTATCCGACGGCAAACGCTACAACGTTTTTTCATTCGCCGAAATTGACATCAAGCAATTTACTTGCATGTTGAAAAAACGAAGGTACCAGTGGTCCAAACGCTTTCGGGTAGCGATAAGGCATTGGTAGCGGATCATTGATGAAGGAGGGAGCTACTTAACTCAAAGCCAAAATATTCACTTTTTTATCTGTTTCCCCTCTTCATTTTATATGAATAAAACTTCCACATTTTTGAATGGGATGATCTAATATTTCTGGAGATTCCATATCTTGTTGATTTATTTTGCATTCTTTTTTATAATGATGTTTTCAGGCACATTCCGCAGTCATCATATCCTGAACGGTTTCCTGCCTGATTACTGTAGCGGTCCAACGTACCTAATGACACCCGCAGCCTTAGCAGCATTGATGGAAAAGGTCTGGGATGCTAAGGTAGAGTTTCCATGGATTATGCTTGTGTTCTGTGACTTTGTCCGCCCATTCAGCATCTGAAAAAAGCTCTGTAAATTTCGAGTTCATAGAAATGGAGTCACCGTTATTCCTGCCTTCCCCCTCCCCCTCCCTGTTAATTATCTGCATTTTTTTGAAGGTGGTTCTATGACACAATCACATTTTCATCATTTCCAGACTATATCGTAGCTCTTGAGGCGGGGCGGTGTAGTGACAAGTGGCGCGCTCACCACTCGCGCGGATCCTGGGTTCAAATCCCGGGTCGACTCCCGCCTAGGCCAACCAAGCCTTCTTTCCTCCGGGGACGGTAAATTGGTACCAGATTCGTCTGGGAGGATAAGAACACTGACTTGTACATCGGCTGGCCCCCGCAAGTCATTGTATAGGCCACATCGCACCGCACGCCTTGAAGAACACATGGTGCGATCACACACAGTTTGAGTGTGTTGTGACTATCACCCAGGGCGGGCGGCCCTTCGGGGCCGACCGGGGGGTGGGGGCCTCCAGCTGTCGAAGCGTAGCGGTTTCCCCGTCCTAACATGCGCAGGAATGGAGATACAGGACCGAGAAACACGCTAATTCCTCCATGCTCCGCCTTATACCTTTTTGCGGCGCAGATTCCCGTTCATGCTAACATCCGTCGTAGCGCGCTGTATTGTCGCGTGCGGCTCTCTTGGCACTTTGCCCATTCCTGTAATTGCGCTTTGGAATACAATTAAAACGCAATTTCCTGATGCGAATAACATTTGAGGTACATAAAATAAGAAAAAGAAATAAGTGCAAAATGTTAAGAACCGGAAGATGAAGACGAAAGGGCAGAACTCAAGACATGCTTTCTGCAATATCCCTCGGAGGCCGCTTGCATTCCCACAACAACATGAAATAGAAACGGGCAAAAGGTCGCACTTAGTTAAACATTTCTATTGGCTTTGAGGCTCGCGCCGGATCGCGACGTGCGGAATTTAATTAATTTGCGTTTCTTAATTTTTTCAATTTTTTTGTTTACATCCATATTCTCGTTGTTCTTCAATTTCAACCTTGTCACCATTCGATCCACCTGTCTATTCCGGACTTTGAAGCATGAGCAACAGCCTGCCAAACGCGTTATTCGCATCAGGAAGACTGCGTTTTGCTGTATTAGAGTAAACGAGTGGACTCGTTTTTATTTTCATGTTTTGGTGGGAGTGCGCGGCCTCTGAGGGATGTTGCAGAAGCAGCACAATTGCTCCTGAGTTCTGACCCTCGTCATCATCTCCGGCTCTTATTTTGGCACCTCAAATGTTATCCGCATGTCAGAAAGATTGGCGATTTTAACCTTGTATTTAGAACGACGCAATTACAGGACTTGGCAAAATGCTCAAGAGAGCCGCGCGCGCGAACCCGCGTGCTTACTATGTGTTAGCATGAGCGGCGGATACTGCGCGCAAAAACGTATGGAGGCGGAGCTATGCGGAGGAATCCGCGACGGTGCTTTATCGGTCCTGTATCTCCATTCCTGCGCATGTTAGGACGGGGAATCGGACGGGAAAACCGCTACGCTTCGATAGCTGGGGGCAGGGGGGGCTGATAGTACGCACACCCAATACTGTGTGTGTGATTCGTAGCCATGTGTCTTCAAAAGGGATCGTCGAACTCGGCGAAACTTCGACACTTTTTTATCCTTCATTTTGGGTCTTACTTAATCATTGTGAATTTCAGGTTTTCGAGGTTGAGGATGCGTTTTTCACGGGTGTTCTGGCCAAGATGGCTGGTGTACGGTTAGAAAAGGAGCGAGGATTCTGGGACCGATTCGTTCGTTTTATTTCAGAAGTGCTTATGTTTTGATGTAAAGGTACATAGTCAGAGCAAAGCGCTTGTGCGCCCATCCGTCCCAGTGCGCCCATCTGTTCCATTTGTTGAGCCATCTATAGCAGGAAAAGTAAGGCAGCGTTTAGAATCCATGATGGCGCGAGTCGGCGCAATACCAATGCAATGGCGCTACATTGCTATAGACGCGACCGCAGACGAGAATCGATGGGCACTGTTCGCTTGTGTTTTGAGGGGGTATAGGAAAACAGGAGGGTTAGCGCTGGCTTCACACGATCTCTTCTGTTCTTCTGTTCTCTCTCTAAAGACTAGCGGCTAGTACCGACCGATACCAGACTGTGTGACTAGACAACATAACGAGTATCATCCTATTTCCTATACTCTGAAAACGAAGGTGGCCGCTGCCGATCGATTCCCGTCTGCGGCTGCGTTTGCGTCTATGGATTTGGAGGGCTGTTACAACTGCTCATTACCGCGAAGTCTGAACGCTGTCTAACAAGGAATAGATTTGTTTGCTGAGGCATGATTATGCCGATCAGCTGTTGATGGATGCTATTGTGAAAAATCATGATTCCAGCGAAGCTGACAGTCGTTCTCGCTCGCGCTTGTCAGGAGGACTGGGTTTGGCGCGGCGTCAGCCCATTCGTCGCCAATGGTTGAAGCTGGCAAGTGACCGCAATTGGTGGAAAACAGGCTGCCGCCACACCAAACCCACACCCCTCCCATCATCACCCAGAATTTGCAGCAAAAATTACAGTACGTGGTCGCGGTCTCTGCAGTTTTCATTGCATCCACATCATAACGTGTTCAATAATATTGCCGCGCCACCGCGTCCACTAGTCCCACAAGTGCTGAGCCTCTGAACGGTGTGCATCGGTCAGAGGGGACGGCCATGACAACCGCAAGCTGTCGCATCGCCGTGCGCGGCAGATTGATGTGCATCAGTTTGTCGATTGGGGCAGCGAACCCCATATGAATTCAAACCAAGTCAAGACTCCATGAGAGGCTGTCTCGAACTTCCCCGTGCCTCGGACGCACATATTCATACGATCGGGCACTAGGTCGCTCTCCACCCATCAGCGCGG